TTCTCTTTTTTTTTTTTTTTTTTTTTTTTTTTACATCATTATCCAGTAATCACAATGACTGGAAAAGTTATGGAAATTAATTCTTGTGACATGTTAAGTCAAAAGGTGTGAGAGCCAATAAATGAATCTGAAATCTTTTGTAGACTCAGAGGACGAGACAGTCCAATGTTCTAGCTCCGGTTATTGATCTGAAGAGAGGAAGTGCTGTAGATGACAGGCAGATCTCTGATACACCTCCACACATTGCTGCTGGAATGAAGGTAAACTGTGTGTATATTACTGTCTAAATATTGGCATCGAGGGCTGCACTTTATTTATATATTTTTTTTAATTAAAAAAAGCTCCAGATTTACTTTGTATGTTAGTAGGGCTACACAAATTTGGCCAAAAATATGACTATAAAATAATAATAATGATGAATATTATTATTGTTGTTATTATTAGTAATAGTAGTGCATATATTTAATTAAATAGCAGCCTTTGCAATTTGATAACTGCACTGAACCATTCCAAGATTTTTTAAATGTTGGCATCACAATGTTTGGCCTGTAAAAACAACAAACCTTTCACCCAGTAATATGTCACATTAAAAATGAATGAGGATTTCACACTAAGTGCTTCATTGTGTGTGCCTATGGTAGGACTCGACATCGGTTGGGTTTTCATCCGGAGATGTGCTGATTCCATTGGCTGATGAGTATGACCCCATGTTTCCCAACGACTATGAGAAAGTGGTGAAGAGACACCGCGAAGAACGACAAAGACAGAGAGAACAGGAGCGTCAGAAAGAGATTGAGGAGAGAGAGAAGTATGCATCCATGATTTCCCATTAATTAATTCAGAAAATGTTGTCAGTATTTGGTAAGTCTGTTAAAGGGGTCATATGATGCTGCTAAAAAGAACATTATTTTGTGTATTTGGTGTAATGAAATGTGTTTATGCGGTTTAAAGTTAAAAAAACACATTATTTTCCACATACTGTACATTATTGTTTCTCCTCTATGCCCCGCCTTTCTGAAACGCGTAGATTTTTACAAAGCTCATCGGTCTGAAAAAGCGAGGTGTGCTGTGATTGGCCAGCTATCCAGTGCGTTGTGATTGGCCGAATACCTCAAGCGTGTGACGGAAATGTTACGCCCCTCACCATACTGTTGATGCCGTGTCCCGGCCGGAGCGACGAGTCAAAAACATTAAAACCCATTACAAACGAGGCATTTGTTGCATCCAGTGGGGACATAATTACTGATTATAATGACTTATACTGTCTTTTAACGCGTTGCGTTGCATCGCGCCGCGTAAACATAAAACCCTGTCTGCATTCTCGCTCTCTCTCGGACACACTCGGCCTCTCTTGCGAACTATCGCTCTCTCTCTCTCTGCGTTCACTTCACTTTTGTCCAGCCCGGCACCTCATAGGTGAAAGCCGATCCGGCGATCCACAGCATATATACATCCAAATACATCCAAGTTGATGTATTTCCTCAGCAACCAGCACGGATCAGCTCTAGACATGACGAAGCAGATATCGTCCTCTTTTGGAAGGCCAAACAAAGTAGTTTCACTTTCACAACGAAGCACACAGCGTCTTCATGACATGGCGGCAACAACAATACTACAGTGAGAATAAAAGTTACGCCTTCTTTCTTTGCGTGAACATTTGGGCGGCGTTATGCAAATCTTCCCACATAGTGAGGTAGATATGTGGGGGCGTGTTAGAACGAGCCGTTTTAGGTAGGTGTGGTTGACTCTTAACTTTTATAAAGAATATCTCTTTGGATTTGAGACTTTAGTCTTTGCAACTTTACAGATCTTCTTTATGCACCAAGAGCTTGTAACACTCCAATGAAAAAGGAAAAATTGAAATCGCATCATATGACCCCTTTAATTGCCAACCAATATGGCTACCAATATTTTTCATGATTGATGCCAATATCTTAGAGAGTAGTCTGGCCAATATATGTGATATCAGAATATTTTGTTAAATAATAAATAATATAACCATGACAATTACGTTAATATTAATTGCGTTTACTAAAATAATTAGAAATATAATTACCAAAAATTTTAAATGTTTTAGTACAAAAAAAGAAAGGACATAACATGGAAAGTTTGCCTCTTCTGATGTGTCCAAAATAGCTCACTTGTCCACTCATTCACTATTTATTGCACAAAGAATACCTCATAGTTCACAATATTTGCACAAATGAATACATTTAGACAGACGTATAGACAGTACTTTTAATTTACACACAATTTTAATTTATGCATACATTAATGTGTCCAAAACTGACACGAATAGTAACAAATAGTTTATGTTTTTGAAAGAAGTCTCTTATGCTCACCAAGGCTGTGTTTGTTGGAACAAATTCCGGTAAAACAATAATATTGTGAAATTATGTTATAATTATCTTTTGAACTTTCTATTCATCAAAGAATCCTGAAAAAAGATGTATCACAGTTTCCACATAGATATTAAGCAGCAAAAGCTGTTTTTCTGTATTAGTAATTAAGTAGGGCTGTGCAATATATCGAAATATCGCAAATGTACATATTGCAATATGCATATCGCTACGGCTTGCAATATTTGGGGCCATGAACAAAAGACAAAGAGAAAATCACTCACTGCTCTTACCTAAATAACTGTTGTAGCTTAAATAAGAATCGGTGCATCTTGAATTCATAGAGTAAATACTAAGCAGTGTTGTATTTTTCCTTTTTATTATTCAGTTCCTAAACTCATGTTAAAATGATTACACTAATGTTAAAATGACATTTTTATGTAATGCTAGAGTAAAACACTACCGTTCACTTTCAGAAGTTGTTGTAGGGGTGCTTTCTTCTCACAAAAAGTGCATGAACGCTACTTTATCAGATAAAAATGAAAATGTCATAGAAACTTTTCTGAAGGTTCCCTTCAGAGATTCATTCATATAAAACACCCGCGCTACGTTTTGATTTTGAAACGTGCAGTGCTCATGTTTATTCAACGAAGTGAAACGCCACAAATAAATCAATGCATGGGAAACTGGTAATGTATATCGAAATATCGGAAATGTGTTTAAAAATCATATCACCGTTATTGAAAAAAATTATTCGTATCGCATATCGAATATCGCATTATTTAATGAGTTATTGCATTTTTCTTCAATATCGCACAGCCCTATAATTAAGCACCAATAATTGATAACAATTGAGCACCAGATCAGCATATTAGAATGATTTCTGAAGAATCATTGATCAGTGACACTGAAGATGAATATTCAGCTTTGCCATCAAGCAATAAAGTACATTTTAAAGAATTGTTCACATAGAATTGTTATTTTAAATTGTAATAATATTCCACAATATTACTGTTTTCACTGTATTTTTGATCAAATAAATGAAGCCTTGGTGTGCTCGAGACTTATTTCAGAAATGTTAAAATATCTTTATTATTCCAAATTTATGACAGGCAGTGTATGTCTGATCTGCATAGATTAGTGTTGTTTTGTTGAATTGTTTTGTTAAACTGTGTGTGTTAGGAAGCGTAAAGAGAGGCACGAAGGAGGTGGAGCGCCAAGTGGATTTTCACGTTTCCCAACAGAACAAGGCGAATCAGATGAGGAGGAGGAGTATGACAGAGAAAAGAGGAAGAGGAGTGAGTGCCCTTTGAACCATTTCTTTATTTCTCATTTCTGTCTTTCGATCTCACTTCCCTATATTTTGTCACTTGTGATTGAATCCAAGATGTTAATACCAGGAGGTCTAAGTATGGCAACTGATATGAGCATCAGTGTTGTTGTAAGATATTGTTTATATGGCACACACAGGTATAGGTGGAGCTGCCATCGCCCCTCCGACATCACTAGTGGATCGAGACTGTAAGTAAATCTCACTGACCTTAAAAAAATATTTCATTTCCTGTGGTCCCAAGTCTGAAATCATAATAAGATGTTTAGGGATGCACAGAATGTTCGGCAACAGAAATAAGCGGAAAGACCAAATAATATGTACCGAATAATGCAGCAAACATGTCTGCAGTGTGAAAGTATTTAAAAGCAAAAATCATTATATAAGCACCGACAGCGAGAGACAGTGCTGCATCTGCATCTCATGTCTCCGTTGAGAAGTTGAAGGGCTGGTTGTTGCTGGTTATTGTATGATGATTGAAATCGCGAAATGGCCTTAAACTAGGACTGGATGATATGGCCAAAATTTATATCACGATATATTTCTTAATTTCGGTCGATACGATATAATTCCGATATCGATATGAACACTATTTATCTGAAATAGAACTTAAACAATTAGTTAATTAACCTGCAGGATGTTATGTTTTCTAATACACGCACGATTTGCATGTGTTTTGACAGCGCTGCGCGAGCTCGCGGCGTATCTGCTTGTTAGCCAGGGAAAATCTGTACAGAAACTGTGCTACTCGTCAAGGCATGTGACAATGCGATACGTGCAGCAAACATCTTCCCAAATTCGTAATGAGAGTCATTTATAAATCTGCTGTTGTCAACAAGAAGAAGCACTGAGATCTTCCTGCGGGTTTTTGCCGAAATAAAAGCAACAGCTCCATCAACATTCATAATGATGATAATAATTACCCTACAACAGCTCTATTAATACATTTATTATAACATTCGCACATAGTGTTCAAATTGGGATCTGTAATATATTAATAATAATGTTTTAAAGGAAGTTTATTCTGCTCAGCAAGGCTGCATTTATTTGTACAGTAAAAAATACATGCCTGATTCAAGAAGGGGGTCTCAAAAATGGCCAAAAAATATTACTTTACTAACTTATTAATTTTAAGTTAAATTGTGCTTTGTTGGTATCATATCTGCTAGAATGTTAAAAAATGTTCAGTGTTAAGTACATTTTTTTCAATTGTTGTTTTGTAATTGATTTTTTATTTGAAAAGCAGGACAAAACAGTAAAAAGCACATTTTGGCTATTTAATTTATGCAGTGGTGAAAAAATGGCAAAATACATGGGGAAAAAATGCGAACAACCGTGTTCGTTATTCGGCCCTCAGCCCAGTGTTTCATTTTGTTCGGCTTCGGCCAAGAATTTTCATTTCGGTGCATCCCTAATGATGTTGATTTTGTGTGTTGTCGAATCGTGTCTGCAGCTTTGCACAGTCTTAAGTCTAGTTGTGAGTAAATAAGTTAAAACTGTGTGTTTATTGTCATGACAGCAACATATTTATATGATGAAGATGGTCAGCAGAGGTCGAAAGCAGCAATCCATCCTTGCTAAATAAAAGTATTAATTTTTATAATTTCTCCCCCCCCAAAAAAAAAAAAATTAAATTATACTTACTCTAAGCTCTTGAATGGAATAGTGTATGTTACAAAAGCTTTTTATTTCAGATAAATGCTGATCTTTGGATCTTTCTATTCATCAAAAACAACCGTGTTCGTTATTCGGCCCTCAGCCCAGTGTTTCATTTTGTTCGGCTTCGGCCAAGAATTTTCATTTCGGTGCATCCCTAATGATGTTGATTTTGTGTGTTGTCGAATCGTGTCTGCAGCTTTGCACAGTCTTAAGTCTAGTTGTGAGTAAATAAGTTAAAACTGTGTGTTTATTGTCATGACAGCAACATATTTATATGATGAAGATGGTCAGCAGAGGTCGAAAGCAGCAATCCCACCTCCCATTTTTGATGACTCTGATAGACCACGATCTCCCCCAGGACCAACTAATTCATTCCTGGCCAACATGGGGTAAGAGAGCTATAAATAAAGTCATTATTGTTTATAGATAGGATGTTCTTATTGGCTGAATTATGGAGGAATATTCAGGACTTTTTTCAAATGGAATTGCAAATTGTGTTTTCAATTGCGTTTTCCATATGTGGAAAATCTTGCATTACCGTTTGCATTTTCGCTTTTGTAAACGCACAGTGACTGCCACATTTCAAATGAAAAAGCAAAGTCCATTTGCAGCTGTATTTCCCATGTCTTACGAGTTATGAGCCTGTCATATTTAAATAGCAATATTACACTTATTACAGTACATTTTATTCCTTTCTTTTAATCTATAATAGTACGGAAGTTCTAAGCGGCCATGCGTTATTATAATTTTTTTTCTTTCTTGTTTTCTCGTGATCACATTCACAACTTAATTTTCTCGTGATCTTGATGTAACAAAAGTGGTCCTTGAACAACGATTGCTTGATTTTTAAAACAATGCATAGTGAGTCTACTGTTGCTATAGTAACAAACGCAACCTTGATGGGGACATTCTAAAATGCTTAACCTGGCTTAATGCGTTAATTGAGAGTGTTTTTAAAAGACCAAACTCAGTATACACATTATTAGTAATTCATACTATTTACAGAAAAGAAGATGAGGCTATAATAAGAACGCAGTGCGTTTAATTCCGCGTTAAGCGTTTTCTTCCCATAGAATAGCCTACCGTACGGACAACACTTAACGTGGCTTAATGCGTTAAGGCAGTGTTTTTTCTTTAAAAAAAAAAAAAAAAAACATTAAAATGCTTACTGTCCAAAAACTTTTGACTGGTAGTGTAGGCTGATTATTCTTATAGATTGAAATATGAAAGCATTCTATGTACAGACAAGCAAATGAGTTCATAATAAGAACGCAATGCATTTAACGTGTTAAGCGTTTTACCCATAGAAAACCGTTTGTGTTTACTGAGTTTGGTCTTTTAAAAAAAACTCTCAACGCATTAAGCAACGTTAAGCGTTTTACGGTGGCCCCTTTGAGGCGCAAATGATCGACAGATGACCGTGCGCTCTTATACTGCATCTTGTGGATATTTCAGCAAATGTTGCTTCACTTAGAAATAACGTCTACAATAAATAAAATAAATATAGGCTAATCAAACACTGATTTCTGAAATACCTTTAAATGGCCAATAAAACCCATAAAATGCAGTTTTACACTTGCCAAAAAGTGAACTATTCTTTCTGCCTCAAAATGACTTGATTTCATTCATGGTTGCTGTCAAAAAGTATTTCAACAGGTAAAAAGAACAGTTCACTCAATACGTAGAGTCTGTAATCACTTTTTGGCAAGTGTAAAATGGACGGACATTGACCGCAATCAGTTTTCGGCAGACGATCAATTTTCGGCACGACACGAATTAAAACTGTTAAAATATAAAATTATATAAAATATAAAGTAAGGTGGAAAATGGGTAAATAAATATAGATTGTCACGGTTTTGTTTGCTTACGTGCATCAATCAGAGTGCAAACAGTAAAAAAAATATTGAGGCAGGTGTGACGCGCTCTATTACAGTACAGATTAAAAGAAAGGAATAAAATGTACTGTAATAAGTGTAGAATTGCACTGTCTGTTTACTCACTTGCATCAATCGGAGTGAGAGCAACAGTGAGAGATGTTGAGACAGGTGAAAAGCGTTTGGGTAATAGTGAATATTGACCTATTGTGCGTACCATTGTTGCTCCCGCTGTTAGCAGGGGATATCGCTGCATTTGGGGTAAAAAAGACAGAATTATGTGTTGTGCCAAGAAGGTTGTCTGCTCGTTGACACAGGCACGAACAGATTGGCAGCTGCCTTTAGCGGAGCCTTTACCGATTACCTCCATTGATCAAAGCATTCGGCACGGTCGTCTGTGAGTGACGTCACCTCCCAATACAAACACGCCCCGTAGTATAGTCCCGCCCCTCACATTGATTGACAGCTTTCCGTGTAGACATCGGAAATTCAAATGCAAAAGGAATTGCGATTCCATTTGCGTTTTGGCAGGTTACATGCATGACGCAGAGAGAGTGAAAATTTAATTTGGTAATTAATATTGCTATTTAAATATGACAGGCTCATAACTCGTAAGATATGGGAAATGCAGTTGCAAATGGACTTTGCTTTTTCATTTGAAATGTGGCAGTCACTGTGCGCTCGCGAAAGCGAAAATGCAAACGGTAATGCAAGATTTTCCACATATGGAAAACGCGATTGAAAATACAATTTGCAATTCCTTTTGAAAAAAGTCCTGAATATTCCTCCATACTGAATAGTGTTAATTGGGTAATGTGAAATTCAGATCATTTTAGGTTGCATCATTAACAAATAAATTTAGAATTCCAGAGAATTTAGATTCATGGATGATATTTATTTGATTAACCTTAAGGAAAAAATGTTGAATCCAAGTGAAAACATTTAGACCAGAACACACACACACACACACACACACACACACACACCAGACCAGACCAGAACAAACACACACATACCAAACCA